CATGTAACAATTTACTGTATGCATGTAACAATTTACTGTATGCATGTAACAATTTACTGTACATGTAACAATTTACCGTATACATGTAACAGTTTACCGTATACATGTAACAATTTACTGTACATGTAACAATTTACTGTATACATGTAACAATTTACTGTATGCATGTAACAATTTACTGTATACATGTAACAGTTTACCGTATACATGTAACAATTTACCGTATACATGTAACAGATTACCGTATACATGTAACAATTTACTGTATACATGTAATAATTTACTGTATGCATGTAACAATTTTGTATACATGTACATCTGTATACCTAATTATTAATCCAGGTGGTTATAACAATTTACTGTATACATGTAACAATTTACTGTATGTATGTAACAATTTACTGTATGCATGTAACAATTTACTGTATACATGTAACTATTTACTGTATACATGTAACAGTTTACCGTATACATGTAACAATTTACCGTATACATGTAACAATTTAATGTATACATGTAACAATTTACTGTATGCATGTAACAATTTTGTATACATGTACATCTGTATACCTAATTATTAATCCAGGTGGTTACCATGATCAAACAGTGTACTACGTACATATACATGTACTGTAGTGTTTGTAAATGAACTATGAAGGCCCAATCGATCATATTTTTCAGTCATAAAAAAGTATTGTAAAACATGTTAATTCCCTAATCAGACTACTTAGAATTAGTGGTCGTTTTGTACACTAGACTATGTTGTCTGCAGGGTATTAACGACGAATGTCATACACAGCATACATAATATACATGTTCACCAGTGTACTGGGTATGGTGTGTCAAGTCCTGGTCACTGCTGGTCAGTCACCCCTCATTGGCCATATATACAAGCTCTAAATGTACCTGTGTGGTAATTCGCTTTCTATATGCACCCTGATTTAAATATATATTGAATATGATTTATTATTCATGAGGATCAACAAATCACTGACCATGTCATGAATGTTCAGTTGCAGTTGACTTTGGCTACACTTTCATTCAATTCATGAACATATTATTCAAATGTTTGTAAAATTAAGTTTTTGTTTTATTGCAAAACAATAAACAGATGTACCTTTTATTTTTTCAGAGTATTAAGTGAATTATTAATTTTTCATTTTGGATTGTTTCACACCAAAAAATCACCGTTTTGGAAATTTGGAAATATTATGGGGTTTTTCCTTTGTGTGTGGGGTTTTTTTTGGGGGGAAGGGGGGGGGGTTATTTAATTGTGTTTAATCTGATGAAAATTATTTACTTTTATGCTTTAATTATTTGTCTATGAGTACAATTTCAAACACTGCACTGCTGTATTAAAGTTTATATATATTTACAACTCCAAACATATACATGTACTTGCTAGTGCTATAAATATATATTTGTCATATTTTTATGATCAAAAATTGGCATTATTACCATATAATGTACATGTAGATATAGAGATAAATTAATATGGTGGAATGCAAGCAGATCAGACATCCAGCATATACATATATATATATTAATGTCAAGCAGGCTTTTGTACACATATATACACTCCCTGATATATAACTTGTTTTGGAGACATACATTGTACATAATGACATTCAAACTCTTGGCACCTATTGCAGATTTCAGCTTTCTTTTTGGCATCAAACTTAGGAAAATGATCCGTTGCATTAATACAGCACTTCATAATTCAGAAAGAAATTGATAATCCTGCATTTGTTCTTTACATATGCATACAAACCTGTATGTACGGTAGTTAGTGAAGGTACTGTACATGGTATTTTGTGGCAGGGTCATGATCACCTGTACATTGTGGAGCATGTCCTATTGTCCTACATACTGCAACATGAAACGTCACAGGTAAAACTAATTTCATCACAGGTACTTCATATGTAATCCAAGTTGTCGTCAGCAATTTTAATTTTATTTATACGCCATTATAATTTACATTCTGTATATCAACTAGAAACAGGATTACCAGAATTTCTTTAGAATTTTAATCTAAAATCATAAAATATATTTTTAATTTAATATTTTATGTGCAATAGTATCTATTTTGTGAAACTAGAGTAAAAAAACACAGGACAGTCAATTCTTATATTCATGGCCAGGTATGAAATGGTGAAAATGTATGGCTAGTCAGGGAATGTGTTATAAATTTAAAAAAAATAGATTATTCAATTATTGTTATTGATTAATGATAAAATAATCAGTTATATGTAGTCATTTATGAAAAAAAGATTAGGAAATAATAAAAAGTTTACAGGTTACACCTAAACCTATAACAAACCCCAGACACCAACATTTATTTTATCACAATAATCAATTTGTTGAAATTTGGAACAATTTCAGGACACTTTAATATGGGAAGTGCAGACTTAAGTTTAAGACGGTGTAAAACGTTTTGTTTATTTTCTTGACCGGTCGTCCTTCATTATAAATCATGTCATGTACGTATGAAAGTATGTACTTCTATGAATGTAATATTACAAATTTGTATTTAAATGGATTCTGTTTTTATTAATGAAAACTAAATAAATTTATGACTTGTCAACCATGTGATTTAATCCATTGGTATTCAACACATCTATTCGCCAATGAAAATGTGTTTAGGTTTGTTATGCATTGGTCAGTCATCTATGTCTGAGCTTGTATGTAGAGGATTGATCCTGTTAACCTGTGTGCACAGCACAATGGCCCAGTGATAAGACAATTGGGGGTCATTGAGACTCATTATTTATTGCCACATTATAACTGCCCACCCCTCTGACACACTGCCAGTAATCCTCAGCTAATTCCTTAGGTACACAATGACAGGATTATATAGCACAACCTGCTCAAACAGGTAGCACGTTGTCACTGAGGCCTAGTCTCATTCAACATTAACCAGCAAGATTAAACTTGTAGAGAAATGTGCGCTTTTATTTTTGTGTGGACATCAGAGGTCTGGCATTTAAAGATTGGTGTTTGTGTGTGTGTGACTGGGGAAATTTATTATGCAGTGAAACATATTCCAAAGCTATGAAATACACAAGTAGCTTTGTAGATAGTTGGTACTGTGAGAGCCCCTATCAAGTAATGTCCCCACGGGATATCTATGCATTAGATGATGTTTGTGTAGAAAAGATGCGAGAGGAATCACTACAGGTACAGTAAGACACATTGATGCTTTTGTTGACAGCCTTTCATGTACAATTATTACTTCATTCTCGTTTTACATAATAATTTCAGTTTCATTTTCAAACTCATTTGCACTATGCATGTATGTATACATTTAGTTAAGCTGGTTTGATTGATATATTGATGTATTGTTGTTGTGATACTTGGATAATTATACAAATACCTTGTACTCTACCATCATGTTAAGACACATTTATATTGCAACTACAGTAATTGTACTGTGAGTGAAAACAAACTTAATAAATGCTTCGATAAGAAATCAGAGTTGATTCATTGAGATGGAAACGAAATGTACAACATACATTATACAACATACAACAGATATAATTATTTTTTCATATTATTCCCAACAATTGATTGGCCAGGAGTGCATCACATGTCCATTGATAAAAACCGATATTGACTTGGAGCGCATGATTTTTGTTGAAGGACTGGGTGTTTCTAAAAATTGAATTATGTCGTGTCACTAAACAACTCACCGTCCAGCTTCCAAAGCTTTTTTGTTGTGGTTTTTTTTCAGATTGCTTACATGACTGTTTTGAAAATAATAAAACAATTGTAGCCTTTAACTTCGGTAGATACCTGGATTAGGCTATAATTGAATATTGTATATATGTTGTAAATTGTATCATAGTGCCCCCATTACCTAGCCCTTATTACTGTCTTGTACAGTATATCTATAAACCTTTATATATGTTCTGTTCAGTTCATACTGGTACAGATGTCTTTTTGTGCAGTATTTATTTTGTATTTTTAAAATTGTTGATTGACCCTTGACTTATGTTTCCTGCTTGTTTACAGGACTACCAGGTGTTGAACCTCCTAGGAAAGGGTGGATTCGCATGTGTGTACCGTGCTCGCGCCATCAAAACTGGCCTTGAAGTGGCCATCAAGATGGTATGTTCCTATATTATCCTGTACCATGAATTATTGTGTTTCAGATACATTGTAAATTAATGAACTTTCCATGATTCTATTATGTACATGTATTTAATTTGATCATGCAATAACAGATTCTGTTTTGTAGCTAAAAAAATAAATAAGCATCACATAATTTAGATGCTTATCTCTAAATTTTGCATTCAAAAAACAATACTGCAGTATCTACAATATAATGTATGTGTAATTAAGTATTGTTTATGTATGTCCTTTTCAGATTGACAAGAAACTGATGAAAGCAGCGGGTATGGTGGCCAGAGTAAAGAAAGAAGTAGAAATACACTCCAGATTAAAACACCCGTCTATACTTGAGGTACACTTACACTTGATCAGTATATACATACAGTAAACAAATACCTGGTACACGACTGACAGGTAAAGCTTTATAGCAAATCTGTTGTGATCCGCTATCAGAATGTTCTTTGTGACTTTAAGTTAACCTCTAAATGGATTATACACCTATACAGGTAGCATTCCTTCATCTATTTAGTTAACAGGTAATGCTTATGTTACAATATAGAACTGTATTTGTGGGCAGACTAGGCTATTTGATATTCAATCATTTTTGTATATTAATTCCTAAAATAAAGATGATTTATTATGCTTGCTAACTTAAGAATTTTATTGATTTACTAATTAATGAAAAGAAGGTAATCAATTTTAAATGTCAGCATTGAAGTGTTTTGAAGACAAAATAACAAAATATTTATATAACTAAATGTCATGAGCATGCTCACATCCTTGTGTGTACCTAATCACTATGAGTTTGATATTACCTACTTCAGTAATTGGTTATTATAACACCTGTTCAGGCCTATATCTCCAGCTAATTAGATTATTAAGTGAATTATCCGACTCATATACAATGTACAAGTCAGGGAGGTGTAACATATATTCAATTAGTTACACCTAATTGCAGGTGATTTGAGAATTGTATCACCCACTAATTAGCAAGACACACTCCAGTGATCATCGCATTCCTTGGATAACTGACCAAATTACACAGCAGGACATGCATCACTGACCTCATTTAACAGCAGGACTGACCACATTACACAACAGGACAGGCCTCACTGACTACACAGCTAGTCACGTCTCACTGACCACATTAATTAGATACAATAGGACACGCCTCACTGACCACATGACACAATATGGTTACATGTTTTATTTTGTGTTGGCGTTTGATGACCTAAACAATAAAAAAGATGTGGTGCTTTGTTACAGCTATACAACTACTTTGAAGACAACAACTATGTGTACCTCGTCCTAGAGATAAGCCACAATGGTGAGCTCAATCGCTACCTCAAGGCCAACTGCAAGGTGCTCACTGAGGCAGAAGGTATGTAGTACATCTTTTGGTTACAATTCTGGGGAAATTACTGTAGCTATATAGTGATACAGCCAGTTTTCAGGCCATTTAATACAAGATTGTGTATTTCATGCACTGATGATACAAGATGTTGTTTTACCCCAGTGGCCTGACCTTTCTCAACCTGGAACTTATTTTTTAACCATATTCTCATTATTCCCTGATCAATGTCATTTGTTGTTCAGTTAAGGTTTTTTGGAAGGAAATTATTATGTGTCCAAGATGTATGAAAGTATGATATGCATATAACATTTGCATACATGTGTATAAATTATAAAAGCACATGGTTCCTACAGACATCCAGGTTTTGTGTCTGACAGTAGGGTTATGGTTATTTATGCTTTGTAACAAGTGTGTATTTAATCAGTTTCTTATCGTTCACAGCTCAACACTTTATGCGACAGATAGTCAAGGGGATGCTGTACCTACACTCCCATGGAATCCTGCACCGTGACCTCACGTTGGCCAACCTCCTCCTCACCCGCAACATGGATGTGGTATGAATATATTTACATTTGCATGGCATTGTCACTATATAGCCTCTTTGAGAGCTGTGTCGTTGATGGGACTTTAATTACCATGCCGCACAAGACACAATTCTTAGCGTATTAATTACAACACTGACCGGAACTACAATATCCAATGTAAATAAACATGACGGCTGCTGAAATATCGCTGGGCATTGTGAGATTTGATAATGTCATTGTAACTTTATGTGCAAAATTAAAATTAAAATAAAAAACACTTTTATTACAACGAAAACAAAACCAAGGTCTGCAATATCGTACAAAATGCACATCGGTTGAAAACACCAATGCCGGCAATGGAAACAATTTTAACGCTCATGCAATTTATCAGAAATATCGTCTGTTACACTGCACTGATCAACAGGGGTTCGTTATAAATGTCTGAAATACACATATTCTATAGACCTACTGACACATATGTTACAGACCTACTGATG